ACATTATTTTGTAACCTCAAAGTAGAAGATTTGGTACTCATGATGCATGTCGAAATGTTCAACAGGTCAAGTTCTATTTATAAATGTTTATAACTTGGTATCCAAGCCACTTAAAATTGGAGAAAACATTACACCTTTGAAAAAAAGTTGAATTTTTTTTTATCAACAATACATAAAACATTATTTTGTAACCTCAAAGTAGAAGATTTGGAACTAATGATGCATGTCGAAATCTTCAGCAGGTCAAGTGCTGTTGATAAATTTACACAACTTGTTATTCAAGTCACTTAAAATTGGAGAAAACATTACACCTTTGAAAAAAAGTTGAATTTTTTTTATCAACAATACATAAAACATTATTTTGTAACCTCAAAGTAGAAGATTTGGTACTCATGATGCATGTCGAAATGTTCAACAGGTCAAGTTCTATTTATAAATGTTTATAACTTGGTATCCAAGCCACTTAAAATTGGAGAAAACATTACACCTTTGAAAAAAAGTTGAATTTTTTTTATCAACAATACATAAAACATTATTTTGTAACCTCAAAGTAGAAGATTTGGAACTAATGATGCATGTCGAAATCTTCAGCAGGTCAAGTGCTGTTGATAAATTTACACAACTTGTTATTCAAGTCACTTAAAATTGGAGAAAACATTACACCTTTGAAAAAAAGTTGAATTTTTTTTATCAACAATACATAAAACATTATTTTGTAACCTCAAAGTAGAAGATTTGGTACTGATGATGCATGTCGAAATGTTCAACAGGTCAAGTTCTATTTATAAATGTTTATAACTTGGTATCCAAGCCACTTAAAATTGGAGAAAACATTACACCTTTGAAAAAAAGTTGAATTTTTTTTTATCAACAATACATAAAACATTATTTTGTAACCTCAAAGTAGAATATTTGGAACTAATGATGCATGTCAAAATCTTCAGCAGGTCAAGAGCTATTGATAAATTTACACAACTTGTTATTCAAGCCACTTAAAATTGGAGAAAACATTACACCTTTGAAAAAAAGTAGAATTTTTTTTTATCAACAATACATAAAACATTATTTTGTAACCTCAAAGTAGAATATTTGGAACTAATGATGCATGTCGAAATCTTCAGCAGGTCAAGAGCTGTTGATAAATTTACACAACTTGTTATTCAAGCCACTTAAAATTGGAGAAAACATTACACCTTTGAAAAAAAGTTGAATTTTTTTTTATCAACAATACATAAAACATTATTTTGTAACCTCAAAGTAGAAGATTTGGAACTAATGATGCATGTCAAAATCTCTAGCAGGTCAAGAGCTATTGATAAATGTCCATAACTTGGTATCCAAGCCACTTAAAATTGGAGAAAACATTACACCTTTGAAAAAAAGTTGAATTTTTTTTTTATCAACAATACATAAAACATTATTTTGTAACCTCAAAGTAGAATATTTGGAACTAATGATGCATGTCAAAATCTTCAGCAGGTCAAGAGCTATTGATAAATTTACACAACTTGTTATTCAAGCCACTTAAAATTGGAGAAAACATTACACCTTTGAAAAAAAGTTGAATTTTTTTTATCAACAATACATAAAACATTATTTTGTAACCTCAAAGTAGAAGATTTGGTACTGATTATGCATGTCGAAATGTTCAGCAGGTCAAATGCTAATTATAGATGTCCATAACTTAGTATCCAAGAAACTTAAAATTGGAGAAAACATTACATCTTTGAAAAAAAGTTGAATTTTTTTTATCAACAATACATAAAACATTATTTTGTAACCTCAAAGTAGAAGATTTGGTACTAATTATGCATGTCGAAATGTTCAGCAGGTCAAGAGCTAATTATAGATGTCCATAACTTAGTATCCAAGAAACTTAAAATTGGAGAAAACATTACACCTTTGAAAAAAAGTTGAATTTTTTTTATCAACAATACATAAAACATTATTTTGTAACCTCAAAGTAGAAGATTTGGAACTAATGATGCATGTCAAAATCTTCAGCAGGTCAAGTGCTGTTGATAAATTTACACAACTTGTTATTCAAGTCACTTAAAATTGGAGAAAACATTACACCTTTGAAAAAAAGTTGAATTTTTTTTATCAACAATACATAAAACATTATTTTGTAACCTCAAAGTAGAAGATTTGGTACTGATGATGCATGTCGAAATGTTCAACAGGTCAAGTTCTATTTATAAATGTTTATAACTTGGTATCCAAGCCACTTAAAATTGGAGAAAACATTACACCTTTGAAAAAAAGTTGAATTTTTTTTTATCAACAATACATAAAACATTATTTTGTAACCTCAAAGTAGAATATTTGGAACTAATGATGCATGTCAAAATCTTCAGCAGGTCAAGTGCTGTTGATAAATTTACACAACTTGTTATTCAAGCCACTTAAAATTGGAGAAAACATTACACCTTTGAAAAAAAGTAGAATTTTTTTTTATCAACAATACATAAAACATTATTTTGTAACCTCAAAGTAGAATATTTGGAACTAATGATGCATGTCGAAATCTTCAGCAGGTCAAGAGCTGTTGATAAATTTACACAACTTGTTATTCAAGCCACTTAAAATTGGAGAAAACATTACACCTTTGAAAAAAAGTTGAATTTTTTTTTATCAACAATACATAAAACATTATTTTGTAACCTCAAAGTAGAAGATTTGGAACTAATGATGCATGTCAAAATCTCTAGCAGGTCAAGAGCTATTGATAAATGTCCATAACTTGGTATCCAAGCCACTTAAAATTGGAGAAAACATTACACCTTTGAAAAAAAGTTGAATTTTTTTTTTATCAACAATACATAAAACATTATTTTGTAACCTCAAAGTAGAATATTTGGAACTAATGATGCATGTCAAAATCTTCAGCAGGTCAAGAGCTATTGATAAATTTACACAACTTGTTATTCAAGCCACTTAAAATTGGAGAAAACATTACACCTTTGAAAAAAAGTTGAATTTTTTTTATCAACAATACATAAAACATTATTTTGTAACCTCAAAGTAGAAGATTTGGTACTGATTATGCATGTCGAAATGTTCAGCAGGTCAAATGCTAATTATAGATGTCCATAACTTAGTATCCAAGAAACTTAAAATTGGAGAAAACATTACATCTTTGAAAAAAAGTTGAATTTTTTTTATCAACAATACATAAAACATTATTTTGTAACCTCAAAGTAGAAGATTTGGTACTAATTATGCATGTCGAAATGTTCAGCAGGTCAAGAGCTAATTATAGATGTCCATAACTTAGTATCCAAGAAACTTAAAATTGGAGAAAACATTACACCTTTGAAAAAAAGTTGAATTTTTTTTATCAACAATACATAAAACATTATTTTGTAACCTCAAAGTAGAAGATTTGGAACTAATGATGCATGTCAAAATCTTCAGCAGGTCAAGTGCTGTTGATAAATTTACACAACTTGTTATTCAAGTCACTTAAAATTGGAGAAAACATTACACCTTTGAAAAAAAGTTGAATTTTTTTTATCAACAATACATAAAACATTATTTTGTAACCTCAAAGTAGAAGATTTGGTACTGATGATGCATGTCGAAATGTTCAACAGGTCAAGTTCTATTTATAAATGTTTATAACTTGGTATCCAAGCCACTTAAAATTGGAGAAAACATTACACCTTTGAAAAAAAGTTGAATTTTTTTTTATCAACAATACATAAAACATTATTTTGTAACCTCAAAGTAGAATATTTGGAACTAATGATGCATGTCAAAATCTTCAGCAGGTCAAGTGCTGTTGATAAATTTACACAACTTGTTATTCAAGCCACTTAAAATTGGAGAAAACATTACACCTTTGAAAAAAAGTAGAATTTTTTTTTATCAACAATACATAAAACATTATTTTGTAACCTCAAAGTAGAATATTTGGAACTAATGATGCATGTCGAAATCTTCAGCAGGTCAAGAGCTGTTGATAAATTTACACAACTTGTTATTCAAGCCACTTAAAATTGGAGAAAACATTACACCTTTGAAAAAAAGTAGAATTTTTTTTTATCAACAATACATAAAACATTATTTTGTAACCTCAAAGTAGAATATTTGGAACTAATGATGCATGTCGAAATCTTCAGCAGGTCAAGAGCTGTTGATAAATTTACACAACTTGTTATTCAAGCCACTTAAAATTGGAGAAAACATTACACCTTTGAAAAAAAGTAGAATTTTTTTTTATCAACAATACATAAAACATTATTTTGTAACCTCAAAGTAGAAGATTTGGTACTGATGATGCATGTCGAAATGTTCAACAGGTCAAGAGCTATTTATAAATGTCCATAACTTGGTATCCAAGCCACTTAAAATTGGAGAAAACATTACACCTTTGAAAAAAAGTTGAATTTTTTTTTATCAACAATACATAAAACATTATTTTGTAACCTCAAAGTAGAAGATTTGGTACTGATGATGCATGTCGAAATGTTCAGCAGGTCAAGAGCTATTTATAAATGTCCATAACTTTGTATCCAAGCCATTTAAAATTGGAGAAAACATTACACCTTTAAAAAAAGTTGAATTTTTTTTTATCAACAATACATAAAACATTATTTTGTAACCTCAAAGTAGAAGATTTGGAACTAATGATGCATGTCAAAATCTCTAGCAGGTCAAGAGCTATTGATAAATGTCCATAACTTGGTATCCAAGCCACTTAAAATTGGAGAAAACATTACACCTTTGAAAAAAAGTTGAATTTTTTTTTTATCAACAATACATAAAACATTATTTTGTAACCTCAAAGTAGAATATTTGGAACTAATGATGCATGTCAAAATCTTCAGCAGGTCAAGAGCTATTGATAAATTTACACAACTTGTTATTCAAGCCACTTAAAATTGGAGAAAACATTACACCTTTGAAAAAAAGTTGAATTTTTTTTATCAACAATACATAAAACATTATTTTGTAACCTCAAAGTAGAAGATTTGGTACTGATTATGCATGTCGAAATGTTCAGCAGGTCAAATGCTAATTATAGATGTCCATAACTTAGTATCCAAGAAACTTAAAATTGGAGAAAACATTACATCTTTGAAAAAAAGTTGAATTTTTTTTATCAACAATACATAAAACATTATTTTGTAACCTCAAAGTAGAAGATTTGGTACTAATTATGCATGTCGAAATGTTCAGCAGGTCAAGAGCTAATTATAGATGTCCATAACTTAGTATCCAAGAAACTTAAAATTGGAGAAAACATTACACCTTTGAAAAAAAGTTGAATTTTTTTTATCAACAATACATAAAACATTATTTTGTAACCTCAAAGTAGAAGATTTGGAACTAATGATGCATGTCAAAATCTTCAGCAGGTCAAGTGCTGTTGATAAATTTACACAACTTGTTATTCAAGTCACTTAAAATTGGAGAAAACATTACACCTTTGAAAAAAAGTTGAATTTTTTTTATCAACAATACATAAAACATTATTTTGTAACCTCAAAGTAGAAGATTTGGTACTGATGATGCATGTCGAAATGTTCAACAGGTCAAGTGCTATTGAAAGATGTCCATAACTTAGTATCCAAGAAACTTAAAATTGGAGAAAACATTACACCTTTGAAAAAAAGTTGAATTTTTTTTTATCAACAATACATAAAACATTATTTTGTAACCTCAAAGTAGAAGATTTGGTACTGATGATGCATGTCGAAATGTTCAACAGGTCAAGTGCTATTGAAAGATGTCCATAACTTAGTATCCAAGAAACTTAAAATTGGAGAAAACATTACACCTTTGAAAAAAAGTTGAATTTTTTTTTATCAACAATACATAAAACATTATTTTGTAACCTCAAAGTAGAAGATTTGGTACTGATGATGCATGTCGAAATGTTCAACAGGTCAAGTGCTATTGAAAGATGTCCATAACTTAGTATCCAAGAAATTTAAAATTGGAGAAAACATTACACCTTTGAAAAAAAGTTGAATTTTTTTTTATCAACAATACATAAAACATTATTTTGTAACCTCAAAGTAGAATATTTGGAACTAATGATGCATGTCGAAATGTTCAAAAGGTCAAGAGCTGTTGATAAATTTACACAACTTGTTATTCAAGCCACTTAAAATTGGAGAAAACATTACACCTTTGAAAAAAAGTAGAATTTTTTTTTATCAACAATACATAAAACATTATTTTGTAACCTCAAAGTAGAAGATTTGGTACTGATAATGCATGTCGAAATCTTCAGCAGGTCAAGAGCTGTTGATAAATTTACACAACTTGTTATTCAAGCCACTTTAAATTGGAGAAAACATTACACCTTTGAAAAAAAGTAGAATTTTTTTTTATCAACAATACATAAAACATTATTTTGTAACCTCAAAGTAGAAGATTTGGTACTGATCATGCATGTCGAAATGTTCAACAGGTCAAGAGCTATTTATAAATGTCCATAACTAGGTATCCAAGCCACTTAAAATTGGAGAAAACATTACACCTTTGAAAAAAAGTTGAATTTTTTTTTTATCAACAATACATAAAACATTATATTGTAACCTCAAAGTAGAAGATTTGGTACTGATGACGCATGTCGAAATGTTCAGCAAGTCAAGAGCTATTGATAAATGTCTACAACTTGGTATCCAAGCCACTTAAAATTGGAGAAAACATTACACCTTTGAAAAAAAGTTGAATTTTTTTTTTATCAACAATACATAAAACATTATTTTGTAACCTCAAAGTAGAAGATTTGGTACTGATGATGCAAGTCGAAATGTTCAACAGGTCAAGAGCTATTTATAAATGTCCATAACTTGGTATCCAAGCCACTTAAAATTGGAGAAAACATTACACCTTTGAAAAAAAGTTGAATTTTTTTTTATCAACAATACATAAAACATTATTTTGTAACCTCAAAGTAGAAGATTTGGTACTGATGACGCATGTCAAAATGTTCAGCAGATCAAGTGCTATTAAAAGATGTCCATAACTAACTGTCCAAGAAACTTAAAATTGGAGAAAACATTACACCTTTGAAATAAAGTTGAATTTTTTTTTTATCAACAATACATAAAACATTATTTTTAAACCTCAAAAAAGAAAATTTAGTACTGATGATGCATGTCGAAATGTTCAGCAGGTCAAGAGCTATTGATAAATGTCTACAACTTGGTATCCAAGCCACTTAAAATTGGAGAAAACATTACACCTTTGAAAAAAAGTTGAATTTTTTTTTATCAACAATACATAAAACACTATTTTGTAACCTCAAAGTAGAAGATTTGGTACTCATGATGCATGTCGAAATCTTTAACAGGTCAAGAACTATTTATAGATGTCCATATTTTTGTATCCAAGCCACTTAAAATTGGAGAAAACATTACACCTTTGAAAAAAAGTTGAATTTTTTTTATCAACAATATATAAAACATTATTTTGTAACCTCAAAGTAGAAGATTTGGTACTAATGATGCATTTCGAAATGCTCAACAGGTCAAGATCTATTGATAAATGTCCATAAGTTGGCATCAAAACTAATTAAAATTGGAGAAAACATTACACCTTTGAAAAAAAAAAACTTTTTAAAAAACTACGTTTTTCGCGTAGACTAAAAAGTAGAAAATAACTTTTATTCTTGGTTGTAAAGAATTTTGTTTTAAATTTTCAGATTATATTTAATAAATTTTTATATCCTAGTCAATATTGTTCACAAAGTTTCGAATAAGTGCACTTTGATCTTATCGTATAACTCAACAACTTAAAAACGTGGGCGCATTATAAGAGGAGAAATTAGTTTATGTGAAATCAATACTTTATGATAAACTTAAATTAATGCGCCCACGTTTTTAAGTTGTTGAGTTATACGATAAGATCAAAGTGCACTTATTCGAAACTTTGTGAACAATATTGACTAGGATATAAAAATTTATTAAATATAATCTGAAAATTTAAAACAAAATTCTTTACAACCAAGAATAAAAGTTATTTTCTACTTTTTAGTCTACGCGAAAAACGTAGTTTTTTAAAAAGTTTTTTTTTATGAAGTATTTTATTTTCTACTTTTTAGTCTTATTCTAATGAAATAGAGAAATAAAGATTATAGGGGGTTTATAGGTTACAGGTGTGTTGAACTCCACTTCGTTGCACTTCGTTACGTTCAACTATTTATAGATTAGAGTAGGTTTATAGGTTACAGGTGTGTTGAACTTAACTTCGTTGCACTTCGTTACGTTCAACTGTTTATAGATCACAGGAGGTTTATAGGTTACAGGTGTGTTGAACTTCACTTCGTTGCACTTTGTTACGTTCAACTGTTTATAGATTACAGTAGGTTTATAGGTTACAGGTGTGTTGAACTTCACTTCGTTGCACTTCGTTACGTTCAACTGTTTATAGATTACAGTAGGTTCATAGGTTACAGGTGTGTTGAACTCCACTTCGTTGCGCTTCGTTACGTTCAACTGTTTATAGATTACATTAGGTTTATAGGTTACAGGTGTGTTGAACTTCACTTCGTTGCACTTCGTTACGTTCAACTGTTTATAGATTACAGGAGGTTTATAGGTTACAGGTGTGTTGAACTTCACTTCGTTGCACTTCGTTACGTTCAACTGTTTATAGATTACAGTAGGTTTATAGGTTACAGGTGTGTTGAACTTCACTTCGTTGCACTTCGTTACGTTCAACTGTTTATAGATTACAGTAGGTTCATAGGTTACAGGTGTGTTGAACTCCACTTCGTTGCACTTCGTTACGTTCAACTGTTTATAGATTAGAGTAGGTTTATAGGTTACAGGTGTGTTGAACTTCACTTCGTTGCACTTCGTTACGTTCAACTGTTTATAGATCACAGTAGGTTTATAGGTTACAGGTGTGTTGAACTTCACTTCGTTGCACTTCGTTACGTTCAACTGTTTATAGATTACATTAGGTTTATAGGTTACAGGTGTGTTGAACTTCACTTCGCTGCACTTCGTTACGTTCAACTGTTTATAGATTACAGTAGGTTTATAGGTTACAGGTGTGTTGAACTTCACTTCGTTGCACTTCGTTACGTTCAACTGTTTATAGATTACAGTAGGTTTATAGGTTACAGGTGTGTTGAACTTCACTTCGTTGCACTTCGTTACGTTCAACTGTTTATAGATTACAGTAGGTTCATAGGTTACAGGTGTGTTGAACTCCACTTCGTTGCACTTCGTTACGTTCAACTGTTTATAGATTACATTAGGTTTATAGGTTACAGGTGTGTTGAACTTCACTTCGCTGCACTTCGTTACGTTCAACTGTTTATAGATTACAGTAGGTTTATAGGTTACAGGTGTGTTGAACTTCACTTCGTTGCACTTCGTTACGTTCAACTGTTTATAGATTACAGTAGGTTTATAGGTTACAGGTGTGTTGAACTTCACTTCGTTGCACTTCGTTACGTTCAACTGTTTATAGATTACATTAGGTTTATAGGTTACAGGTGTGTTGAACTTCACTTCGCTGCACTTCGTTACGTTCAACTGTTTATAGATTACAGTAGGTTTATAGGTTACAGGTGTGTTGAACTTCACTTCGTTGCACTTCGTTACGTTCAACTGTTTATAGATCACAGGAGGTTTATAGGTTACAGGTGTGTTGAACTTCACTTCGTTGCGTTCAACTGTTTATAAATTACCAGTTTTTAATGGGAAATTAGTAATGACTTTCAAAATTTTTCATTCGTTTTATAAAATTTAATTTTTTTAAAGCATTCATTAGTAAAGTACATTAAAAATCACTCGTAAAGATTTTGTGTTTATCCGAACCATTCCTACTACATAACGTGTGGATTCTTAACATAAAGATGCAAATCAAATCTATATGTAACGTATTTATAACGGATTTTCAAATTTAAATTCAATGAATATCATTTATATGTTATGCAAAAATACGTCAAACCGTTAATAAAAAGAAAAGTCAATTTAATTAAGTTGGTGAAGTGTTATAAATAATGCAATACATTTAAAACAGCATAAATTTATGCTCAAACTATGTGTGCTAAATGCACATCGCATATTAATAGTTATTTTGCATTAATTCGTAACGGACTTGTGCTTAACGGTTTTTTTGAAAATTCAAATTTTCACTTACGAATATTCATGAAAAAATTACATGTCAATTTTTTTGTCTTACCAGAATATCTTTAGCTGCTCAAATTTATGGTATAATTAATAATTAGTAATATTAATTAAACTATAATGAATCATATAAATGACTTTAGAGCATCACAAGTATAATATTTAATACAAATCAAAATTTTATATCATTGACATTGGATTTTTTCCCATATAAAAAAGTTTTACATAAATTGTACTATAATTAAGCATTTTTGTGTTTCCAAAGTGTTAAAATATTGTATTGTCACCGGGAATACATGTGCATTAAAAATTTGAGCTCGATTGGAGCAGTAGAAGTGGTCGAAAAATTGATCGCAAGATTTGAAATTTTTTGCAAACAAACAAACAAACAAACAAGAAAGCAAGTTAAGAAAAACGTAGTAAAAACAGTTGAATTTTTTTTTATCAACAATACATAAAACATTATTTTGTAACCTCAAAGTAGAAGATTTGGTACTGATGATGCATGTCGGAATGTTCAACAGGTCAAGAGCTATTAATAGATGTCCATATCTTGGTATTCAAGCAACTTAAAATTGGAGAAAACATTACACCTTTGAAAAAAAGTTGAATTTTTTTTATCAACAATACATAAAACATTATCTTGTAACCTCAAAGGAGAAGATTTGGTACTGATGATGCATGTCGAAATCTTCAACAGGTCAAGAGCTATTGATTAATGTCCATAAATTGGCATCAAAACTAATTCAAATTGGAGAAAACATTACACCTTTGAAAAACAGTTAATTTTTTGTTATCAACAATACATATTTGGTATTCAAGCAACTTAAAATTGGAGAAAACATTACACCTTTGAAAAAAAGTTGAATTTTTTTTATCAACAATACATAAAACATTATTTTGTAACCTCAAAGTAGAAGATTTGGTACTGATGATGCATGTCGGAATGTTCAACAGGTCAAGAGCTATTGATTAATGTCCATAAATTGGCATCAAAACTAATTAAAATTGGAGAAAACATTACACCTTTGAAAAAAAGTTGAATTTTTTTTATCAACAATACATAAAACATTATCTTGTAACCTCAAAGGAGAAGATTTGGTACTGATGATGCATGTCGAAATCTTTAACAGGTCAAGAACTATTTATAGATGTCCATATTTTTGTATCCAAGCCACTTAAAATTGGAGAAAACATTACACCTTTGAAAAAAAGTTGAATTTTTTTTATCAACAATATATAAAACATTATTTTGTAACCTCAAAGTAGAAGATTTGGTACTAATGATGCATTTCGAAATGCTCAACAGGTCAAGATCTATTGATAAATGTCCATAAGTTGGCATCAAAACTAATTAAAATTGGAGAAAACATTACACCTTTGAAAAACAGTTGAATTTTTTTTTATCAACAATACATAAAACATTATTTTGTAACCTCAAAGTAGAAGATTTGGTACTGATGATGCATGTCGAAATGTTCAACAGGTCAAGAGCTATTGATAAATGTCCACAACTTGGTATCCAAGCCACTTAAAATTGGAGAAAACATTACACCTTTGAAAAAAAGTTGAATTTTTTTTATCAACAATACATAAAACATTATTTTGTAACCTCAAAGTAGAAGATTTGGTACTGATGATGCATGTCGGAATGTTCAACAGGTCAAGAGCTATTAATAGATGTCCATATCTTGGTATTCAAGCAACTTAAAATTGGAGAAAACATTACACCTTTGAAAAAAAGTTGAATTTTTTTTATCAACAATACATAAAACATTATCTTGTAACCTCAGAGGAGAAGATTTGGTACTGATGATGCATGTCGAAATCTTCAACAGGTCAAGAGCTATTGATTAATGTCCATAAATTGGCATCAAAACTAATTAAAATTGGAGAAAACATTACAACTTTTGAAAAACAGTTAATTTTTTGTTATCAACAATACATATTTGGTATTCAAGCAACTTAAAATTGGAGAAAACATTACACCTTTGAAAAAAAGTTGAATTTTTTTTATCAACAATACATAAAACATTATTTTGTAACCTCAAAGTAGAAGATTTGGTACTGATGATGCATGTCGGAATGTTCAACAGGTCAAGAGCTATTGATTAATGTCCATAAATTGGCATCAAAACTAATTAAAATTGGAGAAAACATTACAACTTTTGAAAAACAGTTAATTTTTTGTTATCAACAATACATATTTGGTATTCAAGCAACTTAAAATTGGAGAAAACATTACACCTTTGAAAAAAAGTTGAATTTTTTTTATCAACAATACATAAAACATTATTTTGTAACCTCAAAGTAGAAGATTTGGTACTGATGATGCTTGTCGAAATGTTCAGCAGGTCAAGTGCTATTAATGGATGTCCATAACTTAGTATCGAAGAAACTTAAAATTGGAGAAAACATTACACCTTTGAAAAAAAGTTGAATTTTTTTTATCAACAATACATAAAACATTATTTTGTAACCTCAAAGAAGAAAATTTGGTACTGATTATGCATGTCGAAATGTTCAGCAGGTCAAATGCTAATTATAGATGTCCATAACTTAGTATCCAAGAAACTTAAAATTGGAGAAAACATTACAACTTTGAAAAAAAGTTGAATTTTTTTTATCAACAATACATAAAACATAATTTTGTAACCTCAAAGTAGAAGATTTGGTACTGATTATGCATGTCGACATGTTCAGCAGGTCAAATGCTAATTATAGATGTCCATAACTTAGTATCCAAGAAACTTAAAATTGGAGAAAACATTACACCTTTGAAAAAAGGTTGAATTTTTTTTTATCAACAATACATAAAACATTATTTTGTAACCTCAAAGTAGAAGATTTGGAACTAATGATGCATGTCGAAATCTTCAGCAGGTCAAGAGCTGTTCATAAATTTACACAACTTGTTATTCAAGCCACTTAAAATTGGAGAAAACATTACACCTTTGACATCGTTGCAAACTAGATCTCAACGTGAACAGACGTGTTTACAAATCGCTCCGCAAATTATTCAAAAATCTCAAAAGAAACAAAACAGAGACTACCTGAGAAGCTTTTTGTTTGCAAAAAGTTTCAAAATCTCAGTTTGATTCTCAAAACATCAAAATGGTAGCATCACCAAAAACTACCAACAACGAAGAAAATTTTTCTCAAAATCAGCATGGACTTAATAGTTCTCAACAACAACATTCATCTTCAGTGACAATTCTCAATATTGAGGAAATTTTCAGTGAAGATGTTTCACAAGCAGCCGACGTTGAGATGACAAATCTCAAACCAAAAAAACAAATATCAATAAAGAAGTTTCTCAATGAAGCAAGTAAAGCAGAAAAACGCCCTCGAGAAGTGATAGTTCCCAACGCTCTTTTAAAAAAGAGTAGCAATCGAAAGCAAACCAAAAGATGGGAACAAACCACTGTTCGTACTCCCACCAGTGAAGAAAGCTTCGTCTTCTGGAGTACCGTATCTATTTGGTTCACCAGAACAGGAGAAAAAAAGATCGACAACTTCTTCGTACTGGGGAGAAAACAGCAAAACATCAGAGCAACAAAAGACAATTTCCGTAAACACGGAAAGCAACAACAACAAATCTCAACAAAAATCAAAACCACCTCTAATTGTCATCAGCACAGGAGGAGCTGGTGAAATCAAGAGATTGACGAATGAAATAAACAATCAACCTGGAAGTTTCTTAATTGAGACCAAAAAGGGCAAACAAGGAACAAAAACGGTAACAACGGAGAGTTGGGATTACTACGAGAAATTCATCCAACTACTCAAAGACAAAAAGCATCACTTCCACACATACTCCAGCCAAGAACCACTGAAGAAGTACGTACTCTATGGACTCCCAGATATGGAAATCAGTGAGTTGGAGAAGGAACTTCAAACCGTAAAAATCACACCAGTAAAAATTGTCAAAATGACAATGAAACACAAAAGACACGAACAAGACGACGACCAGAACTACCTCGTGTACTTCAAAAAAGATGTAGAACAAGGTGGAAATTTCTTGGAATTCCTCAGAAAAATCAAAATTGTCAGCAGTTTCAAAATTAAATGGGCTGACTACAAAAATAGACAAGCTGGACCATCTCAATGTTCGAAATGTCTGCAGTTTGGTCATGGACAAAACGGTTGTAACAAACCGTCCGTTTGCTTCAGATGCTCTGAGCAACATGACTCGAAAACGTGCCAGTACATATCGAAAGAGACCAACAAGGTTCCACTCGGAAAACTCAAATGTTTCTTCTGCGGTGAAAAACATACAGCAATTTTCACAGGTTGTAAAACCAGACAAGAAATAATTGAAAAATGGAAATCAAAATCACAAAATGGAAACAACCAAAATCAAAACAAAACAGCAGGCCATTATTCATATGGACAACGGAGAAACAATCCTCCAACACCGCATCGTCCTGAGAGATCA